AAAAAAAAAAAAAACAATTCCAGAAAATTCTGATTTCCAGAAAATATACTGGCATGAATACAGATGTTCAGTCTTCACCTTTACATCTATACCTTCAAGAAACTAAAAATGATTGAGAATATAAATATAAACGGGAAGCTGGGCATGGCAATGCACATCTGTAATCCCAACAACTTGAGAGGCTGAGGCAGAAGGATCACAACTTCACAGCCTGGGCAATTTAGACCCTTTCTCAAAAAAGGGGCAGAGGGTTGTAGCTTAGTAGTGAATACTTGCCTAGTGTGCCCAAGGTCCAAGGTTTAATCCCCAGTACTGAAAGGAAAAAAAAAAAAGAAACAGCATCAAAAACAGAATTAGGGAAGAGTTATCACATGTCAGAACTTTTCCTAAATTCAGACAGATGGACATCAAGTGAAAAACAGATTTTTTAAACTGCCTAGTTTTGGTTTATAACTCTCCCCCCCCCCCCCAGTACTGGGGATTGAACTCAGGGCCTTTGCACTGAGCTACATCCCCAGCCTTTTTTTAGACATGGTCTCGCTAAGTTTCCCAGGCTGGGCTCAAACTTGCAATCCCCCTGCTTCAGCTTCCCAGAATGCTGAGATTACAGGTGGGTGCCACCATGCCCAGCTTGATTTACAGCTTTGAATCCAAGAATAAATTGTTTTGCCATGAGAAGGAAATAGGGAAGGCACTGACAAGTATTCATTCCTCCAAATGAGAAGGGCCTAAGCCTTAAAAGACAAGCCTGAGCCATGAAAAAGGTTTGGACTGCTCCATCTAGATCCATTTTTTTTTCATGAATTCAACAGAGGACCATTTCCTAATCATCTTTTTTTTTATTAACTTCATTGGTACATTTTAGGTATACCTTTTAGGTATACAATACAGTTACATTTATCATTGGGATATGATGTATCTTGGTTCTTACTTTTTCCCCATTCCCCTGCCCTCCCTTCAACCCCTCCACCCCTCCCTATTTACAAAGACTTTGTTTCCATTTTCCTTTTCTCTTATTTTTTCCTTTCCCCTACCCCTCCCACTTCCCCAACCCCTTTAGACCTTTTCTTCCTATTTCACATTATCA